TGTGGCTTTGACGTTGAAGTCACTTCCCTATTTAAGACCTAGTCTTGAAAATATGATTTGGGCATTCCACTGTAGGAATTTCTGAAACATTTCAATGCTTTATCAACAAAATGGAATAAAATATTTTACGATATGGCCGAATTCTGCCAATGTGTAAGGAGAATAGATGACCCACGTCTTATTATCTGTGGTTCACTAGAAATTGCCTTGGTGAAACTGGACTCTATCTCCCTCTTCACAACTGACTGTTCCTTCAACTAACAGTCAATCGTTATCTGGCTTGATCATAAAATTTCAATAAAGTGGATCATCTTTTTGTTTGTTTTAGAAATAAGGGACTGAGATGCAATTTAACATAAACTTCAAAGATAATCTTAAAGAGGAAATGATATGCTACACAAATGACAGTAATCCTAAGGGTCAGCTATTGAAGATTTACAAAGTAATTAAACAAAATGGGGGTAAAAAAAGAGGGATGATAGGAAAGGAAATGAGCTGGATGAAGACAAGGGACCGAACATTAGCACAGGTTTCAAAGTCAAGCCACTATCCACACCTGGAGCCCCTACATCCGGGGGGCCTTGGAGCCCTGTGTCTCGCTCCCCCACAGACTCCTGGCAGGGAAGAAGAGACCAGTAGTCCCACCTAACACAGCACAGTCCAAGCTTGGGCTTCATAAACTCTTGGCCAAAGCACCTCAGTTTTTTATCCATCATCCTACATCTTTTATGATCTGCTGAGCCCTTCAAGAGGCATCCACCTACTTTTCTCCATTTCTATCATGACCCAGGCCCTTTTAAGCCAAATTGCCGTCAGAAGCTATGAAAAGAATTTCCACGTAAGGGAAAACAGTTCACGGTTTGCATTCTAGATTTACCACCTACAAGACTTTGGGTGAATGTCTTAGTTTCGAGCACACACATTTTTCTCATCTGCCCAATAGAGATGATGTCTTTCTTATAGTGAGAACAGTCCATTTAAAGTTCAGTCTTGGGACTCTGAAATCCATTTAAGAATATCATTACTTACTTTCTAGAAATCTTAATTCCCTCATCTGTAAAATTAGGTTACTACTAAAGCACTTATTTCACAGAATTGTTACAAGATCTGAATGAGATGCCGTATGTGAAAGCCTTAAAGTATCCCCTGACAAATGCGAACTGCATCATTATTCCTGACACATCCAGAAGCCTGCGCAGAGCACTATTCCACTGCATGGAACTACCCTTCATGGGGTGCTGTCTGGCAGGCTTTGAAGAAGCTGTATGTCCAGCATTTTCTCTGAGATCTCAGTCTTAAACATGCATCCAAATAACCCAAGCCTACCTTTCTAGTTCTTTCTGGTTAATGAATTCACGTACAGAAATGGGTGTATGCTCTGGGTGTGAATAAAATCTCAAATGACCCTGGATGTTGCTTCACACTTTGGTAAATCCTGATGAGAACAAAGCAGCTGTACTGGATCAAATATCACTTCTCCAAAGTTCATGACCATCAGAACCTCAGACTGTGGCCTTATTTGAAAACAGATTCTTTGCAAATGTGACATGCGAAGTTAAGAGGAAGTCATACTAATTAGGGTGAGCTGTCAAAGACAGTACACACATGTGGGTCCTGAATGCATCCAGGCAACTACCAGACCTCAGGAAGGGGGTCCCAGGAGAACAGGTCTTAGCATGTCAGTGCCCTCCCATAGATGCAGGGACTGGACACCAAGGCAACACCAACTCACAGATCCTTTTAGGCACATAGACAAAGCTGATTATCTTCTTATACTTCCAAGACAACAATGATACCTAAATATGAATGGCTATTACATGAAAGCTGTTTTAGACAGTTCTAAAGGCAATATTTACAGTTTTCATCAAGGGATAGCGGACACCCTGCTATATTTAGTGAAGTAGATTCTTTGCTCTAAATGTCCACGCGATGGTTTGTTGAAACCACATTGTAGCACTTCCTAGGGAGCTTTGCTGCCAAACTCAGTGAATAGCTAATCAAATACCAGTGGAAAGGAGCTAAGTTCTAATTCCGCATGTTTAGTCATTATTCATCCAGGTCTCCATTCTCCTGACACTGGCTTAACATAACACTGCATGCAAAGTAAAAGGCATGCTCGCAGAATGGCAGAAAATAGCAGGCAGAGTCACACGAAAAGTTTAGAAAGAATACAGGTGGCTAAATTCAAGTCAATGAAACAAGCATTCTGTGTTAATTCCAAGAGAGAGGCACTGAAGTTGGGGGTGGCCTTGGAGAGGGACAGCCACAGGACAGTTTTGTCCCAACTATGCATATTAAACCAGGACTCCCTGTGTCAACAGCCTTGGCTCATCTCCCCCTAGATGTTCTCTCACAACTGGAGGCCCAAGTGGAGCTCCCTTTTTAACATGTGTTGGGATCTGTGTGACTTCTCAACTTCTCTCCTCCTTCTGCCCTTGTTGTCTGATGTGAGGAGAAATGCAACAACCCATCTAACAAACTCCTTTGGGCTCAGGGAGTAAATGGAACTGTAGGGGTAAGGAACACTTACCCTCAGCCCCTGAGAGTTCACTAGAATTAACTGACAAAGACACACAAGGCATCATGGGGATGTGGTCAGCTAACAGCCCAGTGAGTTCTGGGTCCTTAAATAGCTCCCCTCCTGTGGCGTGGAAATAGAGGGGTTATGGATACAGGGAGATCTTGACAAGTTATGGGAGAGAGGGGTGGGCAATCATTCATTCATTCCTTCGCTCATTCAACAGATACTCACCCAACTCTCTCCGAGGATGGATTCCACCCGTGACTCTGGGCGGTCTCCTGGGACAGAGCCCCTCAGTGACTCTCTAGTGTACCCAGGACTGAGACTCACTGTTCTAAACATTGCCATCCTGCAGTGACCCCACGTTTCTCCGGCGTCTGTGTCATTTTTGTAGAAACTCTCTGTTTGCCAACAGGAAGACAGTGTTCTAAGCACCAGCAGTTCCACTTTAATGAAGATACAAGTGAAAGTGGCTGGGGTCAGTTGCCAGTATGAAGAACGTCTGTCCCAGCAGCACAGGTGACTGCCCACATGTCTGCTTTGTCAAGAGCACCGACCTGGAGGGCGATGGGGAAGCCGGGCTGGCTTGGGCTGTCCAGGGTTTACTGGTGTAGGGAGCTTCAGGGCCACACAATTTCTGCCTCCAGAAGCTGCTACCCCAGGCTCTTCCCATCAGGGACAATGACATCTGTGTACAAATGCTGCCACCCAGTGGTGGGTGAGGCAGGCTGGCCTCATGACCCTCAGGACAGCCGCTCTTTAGGAAGCAGAGCTCAGGGTAGAGCGGGTCTGAAGACAGTCTCAGCCCTCCCTCAGGCACCCAAGCCGCCCAGACATTCTCTTGACAACTTTGGACAGATCCTGCAGACTGCTGTTCCTTCAGTAGCTCTGACAGGGCCCCAGCCTCCTTTTGCTTTAGCCACTTCCCATAGCAATTCTCCTTTAAAGGTTTTTAAAGACAGACGAGAGCTATCATTTTAACGCCTCAGTATCTGTGAAAAATCTAATATGGATGTGCCAAGGGAAGAGGAAGCTCTTTCAATTTCTAAAATAAAAACCGAAAGGTTATAGCCCTCCTCCCAGTGAGTGGAGCACCTCTCCTGGAGGGGAAGAGGCTTTGGAAGGCTCCACGTGAGTTCTCGCCTTTGGGGACAGCGTTCTGTGGCACTTCTCAGAACCCTGGGCTAGACAGCCCTCCTGGGCCCGTTCTGTCAGTCAGCAGTCCCAAGCATGTTTGCCATCTACAGCTCCAGAGGAGTCCAGTACACATTTCTCGTCTCTCCTTTACCTTTACCCTTCATGCTGTCTGGGCTGTCCGTGAGGGGCTGTGGCACTTGCAGGTTGCCAAGGGGACAGTTCTGCCCCAACTCTGTGTGGCCCTGGAAAACTTGCCTGAGCTCGCTGGGAACAGACACTAAGATTACGGCTGACTTTTGCACACAGGTACACACATCAGATGTACACAAATGCACACACTTGCATACTTATACCCCTGGACCCCAAGATCACCTAGTACTGAGTTGCAAGTCTGAGTGTTTACATCACATTTCCTAGTTAATCATGATGCATAGGGTTTAAAAAGCTTTAGCCCTGCTTTTCAAGGCAATCCATTTCAGGTGTATTGGCCAGGAAGATGTGGTAATGCACAGGTGTTGCCTCAGACTCCAGACAGACCTTGGCAGTTTGCCATATGAACCTGGAGACTTACTTAATCTCTTCAGACTCATGATCAGCATCCGTGGCAGCCTGAGACTGTTGAGCTGTTTCATGCGAAGAAAAAAAAAATGCCTGTCTTACTTAAAGTGCTGTTTCTGGTCTCTGCTATTAGTTCTGTAAAGTAAAGAAACTCTTGAAATGCCAAAATTACCTTAGAAAAACTATTAAGTCCCTCCATCAATAAAGCAGTGAGGCATAAGTCATGAATGGCTTATAGGTTTGAGAGATGAAAAGTCTTTCATTCTTAGGGCCAGTTGTATAAATGGACTAAATTAGGCTCTCCTTGCATATTTACCTTTCACAGATCATCCGCATTGCTTTAAAAGGTTATAAGAAAAATGCTAGGCAGAACCAGTGTAAGCAACACCAGTATAAGTATATGTGATTCCAGGGCCTTAAACTAACATTCCAGGACTTATTTTTCATAGTTATCAAGCTAGTCAGCAGAATGGACATCCTGACCTCCAGAACAAACTTCAAATCATTTACACTATCTCCCCAGGGCTTTTCACTGAGTCAAGTCGGATTCCTTCACATTGTGTTGCTGAGGCAGAATTGCACTGCATTTGCTTTTCTTTTCTCTTTCTTGCCTTTCTCTTGAATCTGTGTGTATGTAGCACATGTCCAAAGTTGAGTAAATTCACTTGTTGCTGCACAGATTCTACAGTCTGTAGGTAAGGGAGAAGAAGGGCAGGTGTAGCGTTGCGGAACGCGGGTTTCCCAAGGAATGTTACCTTGTTGCTAAGCTGTGCCACGTATCCTAACGACAGGAGCCACAGAGGCTCCTTGGAGTGAAAGTGGGAGAAACGGGAGGGAGGCAGCTGTATTGTTTTGGAGGCTTTGGACATCAGGCTGTTTCTCCCCATCAACATTCCCAGGTTAGTGTAAAGAACTGAGGCAAGCAAGGAAAACACTGTCCAGACCCTCACGAGGCTGAGAGGCTCCTGTCAGCAAGATCATCTCATAAAACCATCCACAGTGTAATTTAAATCCAACATTACCTATTTTTATATAGTGTAAGGAATGATTTACTTAATGGCCCTCAAACCCATCTTCTTTTTAAGACATGCAAATCAAGATGAAAGTGTAGATGACAGCCATTGCTCTCCCGCGCTGCTCTCCCCATCAAGAGGAAGGGCTTTCCTCGGGCAGGGAGAGACCAGGAGCTTGCCCTCCTCAGAGCTGAATGCATCCGTTCCATGAGCTTTCAGTCATGTTTTATTCTGTGATTAAAACTGTACATTTTTTTCTCTACCAACAGTTCTTAGAAATATTTTCAAATATCTTCAAATTAAAAAATAAGTCTGTTTTAAGGAAATGGAGCATAACAAACATTTTATTTGTTTACTGCATACTTGAAAATTGAAGTTTAAGCCAGACTTTTAGAAGAACACTGTCTGTAGCCATTTGAACCGCTATAACAAAGTACCATAAGCTGGGTAGGGCATAACCAAGAGGAGTTTATTTCTCCATGTTCTGGAGGCTGAGAAGTCCACTACAAGACCAACATATCCAGGGCTTGGTGAGGGCTCACAGCCAGGTTCCTGGATGCACCTCGCCCTGCTTCCTCTCAGGGTGGATGGGAGGGCAGCTCTCGGGGGCCCCTGTACAATCCCTAACTCCATTCTCAGAGGCCGATCCAAGGGCTCGGTGACCTCCCAGATAGTCTTCCTCTTACCCACACTCATTATTAGGGTTCAGCACATTAACGGAGCTATAAATATTCAGATCATAGCACACAGACTATAGAATTTTTAGTGATATATGTGGATACAATAGTTATTTATTGCCTTCATCCCTTAAACATCATCAGTAAAAATATAAAAAGCCATACATCATATTAAATTTTCTGCAAGCCAAAGCTTTTTTTTTTGGTACCAGGGATCGAACCCAGGAACTTGTGCTTGCAAGGCAGGCAGTGGCATCATTGAGCTAAATCCCAGCCCACCAAAGCATCTGTTCAAAGTACAAGATAAGTTTCAGAATCCCAGGGCTGACTGCTGTTTTCACCAAAAAGAGAAATTTTAGGAGTTGTTTTCTTGCTGATCTGTTATACCAAAATTTAAATTGTCTCCCTACCGTTCAGGTGCATCCGGGAGAAGTGATACACGTCAACACATGTGGAAGAAAAACTTAACATTCCATCTGATTTTGAGTCCACCCTATCAGGTTATGGATGAGCAAACTAAAACCTGGAAAATAAGTCACTTAATTTACAGTCATTCTTCTGGTTAAGGGCAAAGCTGGGACTATAAATCTCATTTTTTTAATAGAGAAAGGCTTTAATTAGAAAATAAAAGAACATGGTATGAGACTAGTTTGCACAGCTGGCAAAGATCAGGCTGGCTCTTAAGAAAAGAGAGTGAAAAAAAAATAGAAGCCGACTACATACAGCCTGAGCATCTGCAGAGACAAACATTCCCCTCCCACCACCCACATGTCTACTACCTTCTCCCAGTACAGATTAAAAACAAACTTACTGACTTAATTGTATGAAATGCCTCACATAGGAGGAGTAAGTCTAAAGTCTGATATGCAATGAGGTTATGACTAACCCCGCGCTGTGATGTTCATAAAGAACAATAACAAAAGTTGGGTTGGGTGGGGTGATGTACACCAGTACTTTCAAGCACTCTGGGAGGTTGAGGCAAGAGGATCACAAGTTGAAGCCCAGCCTGGGCAACTCAGGAGGTTAGCTAAGACACTGACTCAAAATAAATCTAAAGGAAGAGAGATAGGAAGAGAGAGGGGGGTTGGGAGGGAGAAAGGGACGGAGAAAGAAAGGAGAGAAAAAGAAAGAGCTAATTTAATATAAAGTACATTTGTGGGTATCATGTTTAAAGTCATCATTTAAACTTGCCTTATCAAAGTTGATAATATAATGTATTCTTTTGTTGATAAACCAACAAAATGACCTTACATAACAGGCAGACATAATGGCTTTCCCTCTGATTTCAGAGTCTGTGTGTATCTGGAAGTGAGGTCAAGCACGCTGGACCCCAAGAATCTGAATGCAGCAGGGAGAAGGGGATCATCATACCATGGCCGTGAACCTTGGCTCCCCGAGGTTCACTCAGCCAAAAAGCAATGACAGCCAGGCTGCCAGTAGAAGTGGGAGCTGCTTTCTTGTCAGGCACACCCCTCATCCCAGGAGAGTCTGCCACATCAAAGGTAGCTAACTCATATCCTAGGATGAGTCGCTGTCCTCCACACTTGGGTCTCTTGGTGACTTGGGTTCACAATGCTCAGTCACTGGTGACTGGGAACAGGAGCTAAGGCAGAGGTCTCCTGGGCCTTCCTTGCTGGACACTGGCCTGGGATTGCTGGATGGTTAAGACAGGGGGCTCAAGTGGGGTTCAAGTGGCCTGGGAACATGGGGAGCTTGGAACAGCGCTGACCAGATGGTTTAAAAGCACTTCAGTGTTGTAACTACCTGCACAGCCACGCCAATACCTACTTATCAGATATGAGCTCCAGGGAAGCAGATGCTTTATCCCTTCTTCTCTCTTCCTTCTCCCTCTCTCTTGTTCCCTTTATTTTCCTTCTTTCCTGCTTCTCTCCTTCCTTTTGCTTTAACTTTGTACAATAGGCTTCTTGGAAATTAGACAGTGACAATATCCTCTCTCAAATTATCTTGGATTAAAGAACAAAAGTGTATACCATTTTTACACATATTTTGGGTTCTAGACAAAAAGGAGACATGTTTTGAGAGGAGCTTTCTCAAGGTTACGCAGCATGTGGAAAACAAGCAGATCTCTTGGGACTGAGAGGAGCCAGTAGTTTGCCTAGGATGGGGGCACACATCCACCGCACTTCGGGCTCACTCAGCAGACCCTCAGGGCAACCTCTACCTTGTCTTCTAACAAGAGCCACGGCTATCGTGGCCCCCAGCAGATGGAAGCATCAACTTTCCACTGCTGGACAGAACACCCCACATACAGGGCTTATTGGAAGAAATGACTGTTTTAGGTCAAGGTTTCAGAAGTTTCCATCTGTAGTCAGCTGACCCCAGGCCAGGAACATCATGGCCAGAGAGCATGGTGGAGGGAAACTGCTTGCCTCATGGCAGCCAGGAAGCAGAGCAGGGGGAAAGCAGCCAGGAAGGGGCCAAGGACAGAGCCCCTAAAGTCAGAGACACCCACAAGTGTGCTTTACTCACCCCCTAACAGGCCCTCAAGGTGACAATCAAAATCAACCTTTGCATCACATTCCTGAGGTGACAGAAAGCAGGACACTGAAAACCACTGTGCTGATGAAAATGTGCACAGTGGGCAAAAGGGCAGGGCCTAGAAACAAAGCCGAGAGGTACTATTTAGATCGAAGAACTGGATAATTCTTATGCTCCTTTTCACATATACAGACATCTCCCCTATATGTGTTACTTGGATAAAGGAAAAGTAAAGACAGCAGAAAAGAGAAAGAATAAATAAAAGCAGCAGCCAAAGAGACCCACACAGCTGCAAGAACACGAAATGAAAGCCTCCCCACTGTCCCATTTGTATTGCAGTCTGAATCTCCCGGGTTTACAAGTGGGAAAACTTTGATCCTCAGGGAGTCAGGATGGATCTCTGGGTCTGGCTCCTTCCCACCCTTCATGCTCCAGGGAGCATGTAACCCCAGGAGCTGCTTCTCCTTACCCTTCTCAGTCTCCAGCCAGTTCCTCAGGTCCCCAGCTTCTTAGGGGACAGAGTGGCCATCTCTGATTCTCTCATGACTCACTGGCATCAGAGGGCAGTGCCCCTGCACACCCCACACCCTAATTAAATGACTTAGTGTTCACACTGTACCGAAGGCCGACCTCTGGTTTAATGTTTGAATGCATTCCTATGTTTTTGTTGATACATCTTACAGGAAAGTAGGTGAATCCAGAAATCTCTGGCATGAGAAGAAAGGCCACATTGTACCAAATCCTCCCTCCTTCTTTCCCTTACAATCTATTCTGTCCTGCCTCCTAGCCCTCCTTCCAAGAGTTTAAACCATCTTCCAGTACAAAAAGACAATTTACCTCTTTCAGAAGCTCTTATTATGGAGATGCTTTCTGAGTGCTTAAAAAAATCTAAATCTGATATACATTGGTCATCATGAGGTCATAGAATTGAGAGGACAATCTGAGATAAAGGTTTTACCCCCAGACCAAGGTCAAAGATTTGGACCTGTTTCTCAAGTCTGACTAGATGACAGGACATTGGAAAGAAACAGGCCTTGCAAACAAAATTGGCTACACAGTTAAAATGGGCTATCCACCCAGTGTGAAAAACCAAAAGTGTAAATGAGATCCAGATTGTATAATTGACAATGTGAAATAGGAAGAAAAGGGCCAAAGGTGTAGGGGAAATGGGAAGGGTGGGAGAAAGGAAATAAGGGAAAAGAAAAAATACTAGAAAAGGAAAAAATGGAAACAAAGTCTTTGTAAAGAGGGGAGGGTGGAGAGGGTGAAGGGAGGGCAGGGGAATGGAGGAAAAAATGAGGACCAAGATCTGTCGAGTAAAGGTAGAAGCTCCCAAGGATGAGTGTAACTGTACTGTATATTTAAAAAGTGCCAATAAACTCAACGAAAAAAAAAAAAGAAAAAAGAATATCCACCCATCCCTGGGTCATACAATTTGAAGTCCAGCACTTTATGTGTATTTAACAATATTTGATTGGGAAGGTGATGACCATTTAAAGAAAACCTGCCAAAGTTCTAATCTGGTTGTGTTTGATCTTTTTTTTTTTTTTTTTTTTTTTTC